CTTGTCAGAAGGTTTGCATGGATGTCCAGTCCAGATGATCACAAATTTTCCTCGATCAGAATTCAAAGAAATTTCATTAGACATTTTATGCTCATGTCATTCATTTTGTGCTTATCCGCTTGAGGAAAACGAGAGTTCCAATATAAAACATCATCACTTCCTCGAATAAATCAAATATATCTGCGAATAAATCATACACTATCTCCTCGAGCAAATCAAATGTATCCATGAACAAATCATATAATATCTTCACAAATAAGACGACATATTCACGAGCAAATTAAATATCTCCACATCCAATCCAATAATCTTTCGACTAAATCAAATATCACCACGACCAATCAAATGGCCACGATCAAATCAAGTATTTTCTCCACAAATAAATCAAATAATCTCTCGAGCAAATCAAATAATCGCCTCAATTAAGGTAAATAATTTCCACAGAAAAGTCGCATAATCCTCATGAACTAATTAAATAATGTATCCTCGATCAAATCCAATAATGTCCACGAACAAATTACATAGTTCTTCCCAAGTAAAACATATAATCCAACACGATCAAATCCAATATTTCCATAAATGGATCAAATAATCCACTTGATTTAACCAAATGAATCAAATAATTTTTCTGTTTTTGCAAATTTAAATCCTCAAGTCTCCCAATTTTTCCCATTTAAATCAAATGATTTATCCAATTTTTTTCAATTTAAATCCTTTGAGTCTGCAATTTAAATTAACCGCATACCTTTCAAATGAGAATATTATCTCAAATTTACCTCTCCGCCCATTTCGAATCATCGTGAATTAGCATTGAGCACCAAATGGGGATGTTAGACCAAGTTGGACAGATTTGGGGCACGGCTAAACCATCTAGACTCGAGCTGGAGCAGTTTGGGCGCGGTCTGGGCCGCTTGGGTGCGATCTGGCGTGCACTGGGCCGGCTGGAGGTGTTTTGGCACTTGCTGGGCCGTGTAGGGGTGCTGGACGCGGAACTGGGCCTGTTGTAGGCTGGGAAGAAGTGGGCCGCACGCGGGCCAAAAGTTGCTGGGGATGGGTTGCTAGACACAGCCCGGGACGCTGGCTTTGCGGGCTTGAGCTGTGCGGGAAACAGGTTGAAAAACTGGGCGCAATGCGGGCTGATGCGCGGGCCTGACGCGGGTCAAGTGCTGAGAGGAGAGCGGGCCGCGCGGGTTGGACGCGGCCCGCGCGCTGGAGCAAATGATTTTGGGGCACGAATGATGTATTGGGCCATCGCGCGTTGGGCTGCAGATACTTGGGCCATTCCTGGTA